GATTCTGAGGAAGGGTCACCGGACCTGAAACGTTAACTCTGTTTTTTCCTTCACAGATGCTGCCAGACCTGCTGAGCTTTTCCAGCAATTTTGTTTTTGAGCTTGTAACACAGATTGAAATTGGCAGGTACAATGTAGTGGGTATAGAGACATGGCTGCAAGGGGATCAGGGCTGGAAACTAAATATCCAAGGCTATGTGTCCTATCAAAAGAACAGGCAGATGGGCAGAGGGAGTGTGTGCCTTGTTAGTAAGAAATGAAATTAAAAATCAATAGCAAGAAGTGATATAGTGTTGAAAGATGTAGAATCTGTGTGGATAGAGCTGAGGAACTGCAAAGGAAAAAAGACCTTGATGGGAGTTGTGTACTGGTCTCCTAGCAGTAGGGACAGAAAATAAATCAGGAGATAGAAAAGGCATGTAGGAAAAGCACTATTACAATAATTACAGGGGGCTGCAGTATGCAGGTGGATTGGGAAAATCAGGTTGGTGGTGGATCTCAAGAAAAGGAATTTGTGGATTGTTGACAAAATGTATTTTTTGAAGCAGCCTGTGGTAGAGCCCACTGGTGAACATCGAATTCTGGGCTTAGTGATGTGTAATGAGGCAGTCTTGATTAGGGAGCTGAAGGTGAAGGAACCCCTAGGGGGCAGTGACCATAATATGATGGAATTCACCCTGCAATTTGAGAGGGAGAAGCTGGGATCAGATGTAACGGTATCACGTTTGAGTGAAGGTAACTACAAGGACATGAGGGAGGAGCTGGCCAGAGTTCATTGGAAGGAGAGCTGAGCAGGGAAGACAGTGGAACAGCAATAGCAGGAGTTTCTGGAAGTAATTTAGGAGGCACAGCAGAAATTTATCCCAAGGAAGAAGGAACACACTAAGGGGAGGATGAGGTAACAGTGGCTGGCAAGGGAAGTCAGAGAGAGTGAAAATGCAAAAGAAAAAGCATACAATGTGGTGAAGATTGGTGGAAAGCTAGAGGATTGGGAAGGCTTTAAAAACCAGCAGAGAATAACTAAAGAAGCAATAAGGGGGTGTAGGAAACTGACCCGGTGCTAAAACACCATAGGGGGCTCTCTGAGACAAAGAACCAGCCTGAGATAACACAGTGCGGAGCTGGAGGAACACAGCAGGCCAGGCAGCATCAGAGGAGCATGAAAGCTGATGTTTCAGGTCGCGACCCTTCTTCAGAAAAATGAAGTGAAGAAGGGAAGAAGAGTTTTCTGAAGAAGGGTCCCGACCCGAAACGTCAGCTTTCCTGCTCCTCTGATGCTGCCTGGCCTGCTGTGTTCCTCCTGCTCCACACTGTGTTATCTCTGACTCCAGCATCGGCATTTCTTACTATCTCAAAGAACCAGCCTGTGTCCTTAGACTCAGAGGGGGAAGGATGTAATGATTGTAACAAGGTCAGCCAGATTGCTGAGAGACCTTCTGGTACCTGGGGTTAATGATGTAACTATGCGAAATCACCTACTGGGTGAAGACCAACTGGACTTCAAACAGGTACCACAACTGGCTTTATCATCGGAAACTACAAGCAAAAGTAGAGGCAGAAATCAGGAGGCTGGAAAGTGAAGGAATCATCAAACCAGTCCAGTTTGTGGAAAGGGCAGTACTGGTCCTACCGATTGTGAAGCCCATAGGGTCAGTTCACTTGTGGGGATTTTCGCAGCTGGATAAATACCCAATCCCTTGCATAGATGATTTATACACGAAGCTAGCAAGAGGTCTGCCTTTCTTGAAGCTGGACATGAGCCATGCTCACTTGTAGTTGTGTTCAGACCAGGATTCCCAGGAGCATGCTACAATGAATACCCATAAGGGTTTGTACCAATATATGAGACTGCAATTTATGGCATTTTTTCAGCAGATGACAGAGAACATTTTGCAAGGTCTACCCCAGGTTGCCATTTATCTAGATGATGTCCCAATAACAGGGAAATCTAATAAGGAACACTTAGATAACTTGGATATAGTCCTAAAGCATTTTTCCAAGGCAGGCATATGCTTTAGAAGGGAAAGATGTGTGTTCCAGGCCTCCAAAATGACCTACTTAGCCTACAGAGCTGACAAGACCAGGTTACACTCATTGGAAGATAAAGTGAGGACGATCAAAAGTGCCCCGGCTCCCATGTCTGTACCGGAGCTCACGTCATTTCTTAAGCTGGTAAATTATTATGGAAAGTTTATGCATAACTTGGCATCCATCCTGACACCTTTCCATCAAACTCCTAAAAAAGGGTCAGTGTTAGAAATAGTTGCAGAGACAAGCCCTACCTTTCAATAAAGAAACCGCTATTGTCACCTGAGGTATCGGCACACTATAATCCCAAGAAAGATCTGGTATTGACATGCGATGCTTCCCCGAATGGCATGAGGGTAGTATTAGCTCATAGGTAGCCAAATGGAGAGGAAGGCCCGACAGTGTATGCATCCAGGACTTTGGCTAATGCAGAGCGTAAATACGCCCACATTGAGAAAGAAGGATTGGCTGTCATATTTGGAGTCAGGAAGTTCCACCAATACCTTTGCGGGTGAAAATTTGTGATAATCACAGACCACAAATCCCTATTTGGTCTCCTTAAAGAGGACAAGGCAGTGTCGCCCATAGAGATAACAGGGTGTAGAGCTGGATGAACACAGCAGGCCAAGCAGCATCAGAGGAGCAGGAAGGCTGACGTTTTGGGCCTAGACCCTTCTTCAGAAAGCTTCAGAGCGATTTCAGCGGTGGGCTCTAATACTAAGTGCTTATAATTACAAGTTAGAACACCATCTGGGAGGCCGAATAGTGAGTGCTGATAGATTGAGCTGTTTCCCATTAGCAGATACAGCACTGGTGGTACCCCCAATGGAATGATATTAAATTTTATGGATGCACTCCCAGTCACAGCTAACAATGTCAGACTTTGGACACAGAAAGATCCAGTCCATTCCAAACTGAAATAATCGGTATTAATGGGGGAACCATAGGGCCATCACAGCTAGAAATTAAAATCTTTCTGGACTTAGAGAGACCAGCTCACAGTCGAAGATGGCATATTGTTATGGGGAGTGAGAGTGATTGTCCCAAGCAAAGGTCACTGCCAAATACTGGTTGAACTCCACCAGAGCCATCCAGTGGTCTCCAAAATGAAGATGTTGTTGAGAAGTTTTAGCTGTGGCCGAGATTGGAGGCAGACATAGCCACATTGGTGGGGCAGTGCCCAAAGTGCCAACAAGGACAAAAATTACCACCTTCAGCTCTGCCACATTAGTGAGAATGGCCAGGTAAATGTTGGACTCAGTTGCACGTTGACTATGCAGGTCCTTTCATCGAGTCATTGTAGACTCGCACTGAAAGTGATGTGTATAGGCTCCATTCATCAAACACTGGGATGAACCAGATGGGTTTTTACAAAAATTGACAGTGGTTACATGGGGTCGGCATCCACCTTGCTTTTTATTCCAGATTTTTATGTAGTTCTAATTTCACATTCTGCTGTGGTGGGTTTCAAACCCACTACTCCAGAACAGTTTAAAAGACAGACAGCGAGAGACAGAGGTTAAGAATAGCTCAGCAGGACTGGAATCTCACAGGATGATGATTGTCTTTACCTGTCCTTTTGGAGTAATTCCTTATTCAGCAGCTTCTCCATCAGGCCTACCTCGATCTGGTCAAATATCCTGCTCACTGCTTGAAACATATTCACCTCCATCATGTCGATCACAAGCATCTTCCCGTACCTTGAGGCAAGTACACCATTCATCAGTGTTCCTTTGCTACCCTTCTATCTCATTGTTCTTCATCCCATTGCCCTTAATCAATTTGCTCTCCATCTCTCAGCACTCTGTCTCTCAGCCCTCTGTCTCCCAGCCCTTGTCTCTCAGCCCTCTATCTCTCAGCTCTCCATCTCTCTGTCCCCCATCTCTCTGTCCCCCGTTTCTCTGTCCCCCGTTTCTCTGTCCCCCGTTTCTCTGCCCTCCGTCTCTCAGCCCTCCGTCTCTCAGCCCTCCGTCTCTCAGCCCTCCGTCTCTCAGCCCTCCGTCTCTCTGTCCCCCGTCTCTCTGTCCCCCGTCTCTCTGCCCTCCGTCTCTCAGCTCTCCATCTCTCAGCTCTCCATCTCTCAGCTCTCCATCTCTCAGCTCTCTGTCTGTCTGCCCTCCATCTCTCAGCCCTACATCTGTCAGCCCTCTGTATCTCTGCCCTCCATCTCTTTCCTTTCAATTTCTATCTGCCACTGCTCACCAGGACCCTATACAGCTGCAGCATAGTCTCCCTGTTTTTAAACTCCATCCCTCGAGCAATGGCAGACAAAATTCCATTTGCCTTTTTAATTACCTGCTGCACCTGCAATCCTACTTTTAGCGGTTCATGCACAAGGACACCCAAGTCTATCTGCACAGCAGCATGCTGCAATTTTTTACCATTTAAAACATAGTCCATTTTGCTGTTATTCCTACCAAAATGGATGACCTCACACTTATCAACATTGTACTCCATCTGCCAGACCTTTGCCCACCCACTTAGACTATCTATATCCCTCTGCAGACTTTCAGTGTCTTCTGCGCACTTTGCTCTACCACTCACCTTAGTGTCATCTGCAAATTTTGACATACCACACTTAGTCCCCAACTCCAAATCATCTATGTAAATTGTAAACAATTGTGGTCCTAACACTGATCACTGAGGCACACCACTAGCCACTGACCGCCAACCAGAAAAACACCCATTTACCCCTACTCTTTGCTTTCTACTGGTCAACCAATCCTCTATCCATGCCAATACATTACCTGTAATACCGTGCAACTTTATCTTATGTAGCAGCCTTTGGTGTGGCACCTTGTCAAATGCCTTCTGGAAATCCAGATACACCACATCCACAGGTTCCCCATTGTCCACCATGCAAGTAATG